AGTTGTTTATCGAAGAAAAATGTGCAAAAAAAAAAAAAAATGGAACAATAAAATGTCATAGTAAATGATTAAAAGGACAACAACAACTTTGATGCCAACTTTGATGCTCTGTACAGCAGAAGGAGCAAAACGAGAAGAAGCAAAAATAGTAGGAAACAGCAAAAGTAACAGCAAAATAGCTTTAGCAATATTGGGTCCACAAAAAATTTTTAAATGCCTTTGTGAACAGTATAATTTGTTTTTAAAACTTTTGATAAACAGCAGCAGTAATGAATATTTTTACGAGATTGAACTACAAAAAAAAGACAATCAAAGATTACTGCAATGATGACATTTATCATCAAAAAAGAATAAATTCAATCAAATTTTGCTATAAAACTGTTTGTCAACAACAATTTTCAGCTGTTTTCAAAAAAAACCCAAAAACCCAAAAGTATCAACGCCTCCTAAAAAAACACCTGAATTAATAAGGGATAAATTACAGGTAAGAAAAGAGAAAAAAAAGAAGGTAAATAATTGGTATAACAAATCACTGGTGATCGAAGATGCCAACAAAACGACAACTTTCTCAACTTAATTAATTTAAATTAAATGTAAAAAAAAAAAAAAGAAAAATTGAAAAAAGCCAATAAATAAAATCAAACAAAAAGAAACTAAAATTAAAAGAACATTTGAAAAGTTGAAAATTTTTTTTGTTAATTTATTTTCATCCTCTCTTTTTTTAAGTTTTTTGAATGAATCGTTTAATTAATTGTTCTCCTTCTTCTCCTTCTTTTTTTTGATTTTTGCAGTTCAGTTTAATCGCATTTTTATCGCTTTTCTGTTAAATTTTTTTCCTCCTTCTCTTTCTTCTTTTTTTTTTTTTTGTAATTATATCAAACAATTTGACTGTATAAATTAAAAACAAAAACAAAAGCAAAAAGAAATGAAAAAATAAAGTCTGAAACTTTTGGTCAAAATGACATAACGTTTGTTCAGTCCGTTTACATTCAGTGCTCTTCCAAATAGCATTTCGGTAATCTTTCAGAAGTCAAAAAGATTTTTTTTTTGTTGGCAATACTCTTCACTTCGTCCTTAACACCAATAAAACTTTATTTTCATTTTTTTTTCTTATTTTTTACACGGTATACAGCAACAAAAATAAAAGATAATAAATTGAAGAAAAAAAAAATACAGACTATATACAGTTAAAAAATCTTTTCAAAAATTATAAATAATGTATCAACTTTTAAGAGCGACTTTGTATCACAATCGCTTTTGTTGTATTTTACCTTCTTTTCCTCGCTTTTCCAAATGCCAATTGAATATTTATTAAAAATGAATTTAAACCTTAAAAATCACAACAACAACAACAAAGAAGGCCTCCAAAAACTCATATATTATCAATATTATTATTTCAACTGTCAACATTTCCAGATTCTGCCAGAGTAAAATGAGCGGTGAACTTCTTTTCAACTTCAGAAAACAACTGCCTACCGTTACAATGATCCGCAGTATTCTTACAGTTCCAAAAAACTTAACGATTAAAAAAATGGATGAACAAGTGAATAAGAAGCAATGTAGAGGTCAACAGTATCGTCTTCCAGCTGATCAACCAGTAAGCATCAACTAATCAGCTCTGTTCCTAGACCGATAAACTGTCAATATGGCCACCATATGGTAAGTATACTTATGCCATTAGTAAATTTTCCAATCATTTCGAAATCGTCAAAAATACTGCTCTTTTTTCCACTATTTTATGGCTGAAAAATGTCACATTAAAGAGGTATATAATGACTGGTAGAATTTTTTTCAGCTGTCACTCGGCTAATCACCCTTCTTGCAAATATCGTGATGAATGAAAAAACCGTATGAAGGAAGCATATTTTCCACTTCCGTTCAGCTTTCTAACCAAAAAATATCAGTCAACTCATCAAAAAAAGAAAGCAACTCTTCAACTACCTGTACTCCTCAGCAGTAGCTAGGTCAGCAACAGTAACAAAATCAATAAAAGACAGATGTAAGAAAGTTAAACCCATCATGCCATCAGAATCCAATTAATTTCATCAAAAAAATTATTTTTTTTCAAAGAAGAAGTAAAAAATTAAAAAATTACTTTTTGGAATTACGAAGCATCCCCGATCTACCACTGCTCATCTGCCAGTATCGCTCAGTGTGATTCCAGACAAATTCAATTAAAGCTACTGTTTCTCAAAAATCCAACTTGCAAGATAAAATTCTCTTAAATCCCCAAAACTTGATACTCTCCCTTCTGATGCTCCTCTCAAAACAATAGTTGGGAAAGCTAACAGATCTTTAATTTCTCCGCAAAACGACCCATAATGCTGTCTTCAAATGATAGAGTTTCATCTACATTACGCACCCCAACTACCAATTCAACATTTATAGGCCAATCAGTCTTTCATAACTTGTTAAATCAACGTTTCTATCAGGAACGAATATTGCTCAAATCCTCTTTAACCTCGTACATTACCGCCATCACTTACTGCAGATACATAAAACTTTTTAAAAAACAATTTTACACTCATACTCATTAGTCTTCAAGATGGCTCGATAAAATATTTTTAGATTTTACCGTCCCACTTGTCCACCAAAAACTTTCGTCACTACTTCAGAAATTTCCAACATACAGATGCCACTTCTTACTTCTAATTCTATTTAAAATCCTTCAACGTCTTGAGGACACAACATCTTTTTGCTAAGAGGAATAAAATCAAGCGCGTAAAGCCACAAACTTCCTCCCTGATGCCACTTATCTCTCAATCAAAAAAACAATTTCCTATCTTATTTTCTGACAGCATCGGAAGCTATTACTATTAGCATTTGCACAGTGTGTGCGGGTAAGCAGTAAAACTCCACCTAAAAACAATGCTTGACCACAAAATTTCAAGCCGTTTTGCTTATTACCGCTTTAAACCGCCAGTTGATGAAAGAAATCTGCAAACAGAGCAGGACTAAACCGTTTGTAATATATCCCTTATGAAGTTGAAACGCATTACGCATCTGAAAAAAATGGTAAAAAACCTTTACGGGCAGCTTCCAGCAAATACTTTCAGCAAACCAAGCATGCAAAATTTTCTGAAACATTTTGAAAATGAAATTAGCTTCTATCTCTTGAAGAAATATGAAACCCTTGTTCAATAACGATGTTAATATGGCGACGTCATGCCTCAAATTTAATTGCAAAATTACCAGGCCAACCACCTACTGCATTTCACAGTCCTCTGCAGTATGAAGGGAACAGCTGCAAATCCACCCACCAGATTTATTCTGATAAAACTGCTTCAAAAAAATATGGTTAATTCCGACCTCATCCACTTCCACTTCTCACAAACAAAGAAACACAGATTTCTACCACTGAACAAGACCACCACATAACTAAGGATATGCGTTGTTCACAATTCCTGATTTCTCAAATTTCGCTGGTACTGCCATATGCAAACCACTACGGCCTTTCCCTCAATTAACTTGTCAGGATTGCTTTCACAAACAACGTGTTGCCACGAAAGGGGAAGAACATCACTTTACGAAAAACATACTTTAAAAAATCTAGCAACCCCTATTTGCTCTCGTTCTACCCAACAACTAAAATCTACCTCTCCAAAAGAACTCCTTACTTCCCAAAACCTGTTCCTCGAATTCACTCTTATGTTAAATACCTTTTTCTGCTCAACAACTGTCCACTCCATTACCCCCTAATTTATTAGCCAGAACTTCTTATACAATTTCGAACAACATTTGCAAAAACAAGTAAAGAAGAAAAACGAACACATCAGATGAAGAATTGGACAATAAAAGTAAACATCAGACAACTGAGAATAACAAACTCCAAATCTCATGATGATCTCGAAACAATATTATGCATAAGTTATTTTGCACACAACCTCCTATTGCAATCACTCTTAACCAGTAAAAAACACTTTGCAATGATTCAATAAATTGAAAACAATAAATCATTACGGCCACAAAAATCATTTACCACCTTAACAAAAGTGAAACTCCAGCTACTCCCTATTATAGGACTTCATGCAAGATAAAACCAACTGTCTCGTTTCAAAACTGTTCCAACCAAAAGCAAAAAATCAATCGGCAAGATTTATCCAAAGCAAAACTGAAACGGCGGGGAAATAACGAAGCTCGCAAGGTGCCACCCTGACACAGCGGCAAAAGTAGCAACTCAAAAATAACCTGACAAAAGAATTTTAACAAAAAAAACGAATTAAAAAATGCTCAATCGCAGCTAATTAACATTAGTGAAATAATTATACTAGCGTTGCCGTGCACTATAAGCGTGGCTTAAGGTTCTGCATTTCGGAAAAAAAAAAAAAAAAAAA